TTTTTTTTGCACAGGAAGTGACAGGAGGGCATTTGTGAATGCTGGGCGGGCTGTTGTTGCCCTTCGACGGGACGCGCTTAACGGCGGCAGCTCGATGACTCTGGGCTCAAAGGGAATGAAACTTTCCCCGGATCCTCACCGCAGGCGCATGCCGTGGACGGCCGCAAAGGAGTATGTGCCCGGTGTTGTTCTTAACGCCAAGGAAAAGATGGTGCTGGATGGCGTACAACTGGTGGATGTGGAGTGCGTTGACCGTGCATCGCAGGTGGATCCGCTGGAGGCATTGCGGGCGACCGTGGCCACGTACGAGTACAATACATCCACTGGAAAGAACATTTTCCAATTGGCCTCTCAGGTGGAATTTGATGGCCGCGGGCAGCGGTTCTACCGCAAGGAGTGGCAGGAGGGGACGTACGACAAGTATGTCACCCTTTCCGCCATTGATTTTAATCGCGATGGAAATAAGGGAACTGCTTACGGTTACGTGACGTTTCACGGCGAAACCACGACAAGACCGGTGCAAATAGACTTTGCGGATGTTCCGGGGTGGCACATGGAGTTTCGGGTGGAACGCGCTGTTCCTTTTAACGCGATCGTTCCCCCACCCCCCAGTATCGGTACAGACGTCCCTGTCGATCCGCGTTCCTATCGCCTGAGGGCATATCCGTTTTACGATGCGCCAAATCCCCCAGAGTTCGTGGAACGTCTGTTGAAGGACCGTGGGGTGATTCCGGACTCTCCGGTAGAGACGACGGAACTCCCAAACGAGTCGGAGGGAAGCGATGACACAACGCGCCGCAAAAATTAATAGCATTATTACTATCATTTCTGTTGTATTTCTTTTTTTTGGGAGCTTGTGAACAGGACGCTTACGAGGAAGGCTGGTTACCTGAATTAATACGTTTCTTGATGAACCGATGGGTATATTTCTTTACAATTCTTTTTTATTATTATGAATTTTTGGCTGATCGCGACTGAAGGAATCAGGGAACTGTTAGCGTTCAGACGCTTTATAATCATTTTTATTTTTGCGGCCACACGGGATCCCTGCAAGCTGGTTGAAGGAAATGACAGTGCTTTATTTCACACGGCGACGGGGTGCAGCAAAATTGGCGCCTGTTGGACTTGGTACGCCAGCATGGCGGTATCCAGGTGCAGCTTGCCTTCATTGATGAACACGGGCCGTTGGATGCGGTGGTAACCGCCGCTGCAACAATGGCAGGCTTACGCTTGGTTTCAGCAAAGATCACCATGCACTGGGAGGAGCCGACCGTTGCGGGCACTTGGCGAACCTCCGTGCAGCTCAATTACCAAATTTCGATGTTCAAGAGCTCCTGCCCATCGTCTGGGGGCGGCTCGGGAGTTGGGGTCCAGCAAGGGCTGATCATTGCGGAAATGCAGATATTAGGCTCGGACTGCACCCGCGCCATCGCGGGCGTTCATGATCGAAGCGCGCAGCCTTACTCTCAGGTGGAAGAGGCGCATACTTACTTGTCGGCTTGTGAATCCCACATTGCGGTGGTTGGCGGCCTTTTTGCGGGACGCGGAGACGCCGTGCCAACGGGAAGTGTCCACCTCTCGGAGAGGGCCGCCAGATGAACCCCCACTAACGCATGCACGACGGTGACGTGAACACACGGCCACACCAACCACATCATTGGATGCTGGGAGCGTGCCAGCATCCACGTTTCCCAAACGTACTCTCACGGGGGAGAGACGGCGGGTCAACACCCGAAATTCTCAGGGCAATTTTGGGCGACCACATCCCCCTCACTCGATGCCTTTGCCTTCCCGCACCTTCCCCTTCGAAGATGGCTCCGGTGCAGAGGATCAGGTACTGCATTCTCTTGCACTGGACGTTGACACTTGGGTCCCGCGTGTATGGAATGACGTCGTCTCCGGAGTCCTCGTCGACCTCCGATGCGCATACGGTTATTGTTTGCACTAAGTGGACTCTCAGGTTCAAATGGCCATCGACGGTTTGGTGTCGTGCAGACGCGCACTGGAGATGGATCGGGAACCCAGCGATCAGCTCATGGATTTTTGCAGGGCCCTGCCGCAGACCTTCCGGATGCTGATCGCGATAACAACCGACCCCAGCATATGCCGCCCTCCACACTTAGTGCCTGCCCATCCACGAAAAAACATTGATTGCCGCGATGTCAGTTGTGTCGTCTTTGTGGACACGACGCGTGTACACGCAACGTCCTAGGTGCTTCCAGAAGGAATGACTCGCAGCGCGGTCGGCCGTCAAAGAGCGGTGAGTGGCTTCTGACAGCCGCGAGGGCGGATGGAAACAGCCCCATCCAATCCGCCACCTCCGGCTACTCCGCGCAGGCATCGCACCGCACCGCCGACGCTCCATCCGATCTTTCAAATCGCCCGACGCAATCGTCGAGAAGGGCAATGGAGCTTATCCACAAAGAAATTCACCGTGGCACGACGAATTACCGACATCCCCGCTTTGGGCCAGTTATATGAGGAGAGCGAACGAGGTGGCTCGAGAGAAGTAGGCGCCATCAACGTGGGAGCAGAGAATGTCCCTAGCGGGGAAATTCACAACTTTTTGCCGCACGCGCGAACGGCCGATGAACGAGGAGAGTTGTGCGGTCTTTTTGATGGCAATCGATTTGGCGCCATCGACCCGACTGCGGCACGCCAGGGTGCTGCGGTCCATGTCGAAAATGCATTGAACCCCGCTGGACATGATGATTGTCTGGTTACAAAAAACTCCGGCGCGATCGGAGACGCAGCAGGCGCGCCCCTTGACAAAGGAAGAGATGAATCAATATATCCGCAGCCGGACCGATTGGAGGGAACGTGTTGTTTTCCGAGTTGCGTGGATAACGGCGAGTCGTTGGTCCGAGATTGCGGCCTTGACAGCCAAAAATTTCACAATGGAGGCGGACGGAAACTTAATTTTGTATTGGCCCGTGGCGTCAAGGACGGCGAAAGCAGATCCCCACCGCGCCTTACGGTTCGTGAGGATACGAGGGCAGGATGCCTTCGAAATCATAAAGCTATGCAGGACACTTCAACACAACGAAAAGCCTACGAATCTTACGACTGCTCAAGTCGAACGAGCTCTGGCTAATTGGAATGCCACGGCGCATTCCATAGAACGCGGTGCGTTGAGGCACGCTGCTCAAGTCGTGGAGACACATGATTTGGATCCACACGTGATCTTGCAGTTGGCGAAGCACGTCGACCCGTTCGACCTTCCCCAGAATACTGTTCGATATTTGAGTAGGTACAACACAATGCTGACCCAGGTGTTGCCGCTGGTCGCATTGATGTGAAGGGAGAAGCTGCGGAAGGGCAGGAACCCTGGCTGAGAGCGGAGGAGCGTTTTTTCCATGATTTTTATCACAATCATGCCGCTACAATAACGAGACGCGCGACAAGGACGCGTCTGGCCACTCCACAAGATGAACACGCTATCCCGCTACAGCAAGTCAACGTGCCCGTATTGAATCTGGAGTGGATTAAGAGCCGGTTGAACCCGGCTACCTTGGAGAGGCTCATGCAAGTTTGGGGACTCGTCGGGCGGTCTCCTCTCCCTCCGTCTTCCTCCGGTAAGGCGCGCAAAGGCTCACGGAGGATTCCGACCGCTGACGCGAGATTGCTACGAAAGGCGGGAATTGTCGAGGACGCTTCGTCCACAATAACAGGCGGATGGATAATACCCTTTCTCGGTTGTGGAGGATAAAACCACCGGTTTACGACGACGATGGATCGCGTGGCCACGCGACAAGAACAGCGACGACCCTTATGAGGCTAATGTTTCTCTTTTACACATTTCCCATTATTTGCCGCCTGTGATGGCTGAGGCCGCTTCCTGCCTGGATGTAAAGGCGTCCTTTTTTCAAGTCTTTACCGCGGGAGACTCGGCATCTCTTTTGATTCTGCGCGGAGGATGGCACGCTGGCGGAGCTGACACGACTCCCAATGGGATGCAAGGCCGGCCCAGAAATTCTCCAGATTATTACTTCAGCAATTGCGGTGGTGACGACGGTGGTTCACTCTCTCTGGGCCGCACTTCCATTGGTGCGTGTCGACGTATGGGTCGGTAATATACGCATAGCAGGACCTAAAAGCGACACGACATTGTGGGAGGCCCAAGTGCTTCGTAATGCGGACAGTTGTCACACATCCTTGGGGGAGGGCCGCGAATCGGGCGCCACGCAGTACACCTTCCTGGGGGTGCAGTTTGATCGCACACTCACCGGGCGGTATCCCTGAGTGACAAGTTTGTCCGCTCTGTACGCGCCATGCCGGCGCTCAATTCTTCAACCATCGCGGAAATGGAGGTTATGGCGTCACGCTTTTTGTACGCGACGGCCATTTTGGGCACGCGTTTATGCGGCTACTACTCTTTCATCAAGGCAGTGCGACGTCGATTATCGGCACTTCACCAAGGGATTGCGTTGGAGACATTCCCGACGAACGTTCCGTCGGCAGCGGTTGGTTCGGGCGAGCGATTGCGACACACCATCGAGAATATAATCGCAAGCGAATCATCAGGCCCACGGAAAAGGCATCGACCGCCATCATCACGGATGCATCGCTCCATGGATGGGAGCCGTTTTTATTCCAGACTCCGGCGACGTTAAAATTGCCGGAGGGAAAGTGGGAGAGGAAACCTTTCCTTATCATGCAGGCCGAGGCACGCGCGGTACGC